ATAGATAGATAGATAGATAGATAGATAGATAGATAGATAGATAGATATCAAAGATAGGCAAACAAACAAACAAACATTGAAGGAGAAGGCTTACTGTACATGCATGAGAACCTGAGTTCAAATCCCAAATACTCATGTGAAAAAACCTATAGCCTTAGCTCTGCAGAAGGTGGAGGCAGGAGGATAGCTTGGGTTTGCTAGTGTCTTCCTCTGGCATATGGGCAGAGAGAGAGTGAGAGAAAGAGAGAGGAGGAGGAAGGGGTGGAGAGAAGGATGAAGGAAGGAAAAAAAACCTGTTTTCTATCTTCCAATTTCTCTATGAATTTCTCCAATGAACATCTATGAATTTTACGTATCCGATGCACCTTAACACAGCGGCTCAGAAGCAGGACAGGAAGCAGCGTGGTGGAGGAGAGCGGCGCGGCTCACCTGGCACGTATATGTAGATGTGCCGGCCTTCGATCTCGCTCTCTTCCGTCTGAGTGTGGTTGTAATAGCAAGTGTACCACCCGGTGTGGGCCGCGGAGGCGTTCACCACTTCCAGCACCGTCACAAAGAGGCCACTGTTGTTCTCCTCGTTTCTGATCTCCACGTTGGGGTCTTCTTCTTCAGACATGGGGTGCTGCCAGCTCACTTCACTCTCCCCAAAGCATCTCAGAGAAAAGGACGAATTCAGCTGCACAACCTTCTCATTCTCATTCGGCAGGATAGAGGGTAATAAGAGCTGGCAGAGGATGAGGCCCGGCCCTGGAAAGAGAAGCAGGCATTGAAGCGGGTGAGCCAGAAGGGATGGCTTCGCCAGAGCACTGAGAGCGGCCACTGTAGCAGCTTATGCGAACAACGAGCATTTCTGCGGGAGTCTCCATCGCTCTGGACACCCGTGAAAGGCCCCCCATTATAACAGCCGCTGCATCTGCCGAGAGTAGCAAGTGTTCCAAGTAGCAAGGGGCCTCAACAGTCCCCACCGAACCCCCTAGTCTCACCCCTCCAAACACTCAAATGGATAAAGGATGTCTGATTCCAATTCCATATTTCACACTCTCATGTGTGACCATAAAATATCCCAGTGCGCGGTCTGGGCTCCAGCACATATGGGTTCTTTACCGTGCATATGCCCTGCAGAAGTTTTCCTTGGTTTAAAAAAAAAAAAGTGGGCAAGAGATGTGAGAAGAGGGGCAGGAAGATAGACGGAACAAAGCACAGAGCAGAGCGGGGTTCACTCTGCAATCCCACAGCTTTCCCCACGGCAGCGCCTCTGGCACGCCATCTCCCCTTAATGACTTCCAAAAGCCAAAGCAGGAAGGCATGGGTTTACATTCACAAACAGTAAATAAGACCCGGGGAGGGAGGGAGGGGGTTGAAATGGATCTCCGAGCTCCAAGTTTCAGTCTAGCTTCCCTTGTCTATAGCGAAAAAGGAGACACCTTATAGCTTAATTATTAATGAACGGCCTCTAGTTTCCCTCGGTACCTAACATCTGCGACACATACATAGGTGGATAAAATCTACCAAGCGCCAGGCGTGCGCGCCACCACTGAGCATCTCCACAACCCTCTTTCCACTTTTTCTTTTTTTTTTTTTTTTTTGACACTCACTATGTGGCCCTGGCTCAGCATGAATTCACAGTTTCCCTGCTACAGCCTCCCCAGTGGCTGGGATTACGGGTCTGAGCCACCAAGCCTGGTGAAGGACGCCTGAATCTTTATTTTATTTGAACATACTCAAATCCATCTGCTCCGCCTTTGCTGCAAGCCTGTCCCAGGGGAAGGAAGAGGGCGGCGGGCACATTTAGACATTTCAATGTCTTTTTATTCACACCCTCGGACCAGCGATGCAAAGCACTTGTTCTGAAATGGAGTTAGTACTGTGTGTCTGTGTGCAGGTGAGAGGCCCATGGAGCAAAGAGAATCATCTTCGCTCCCTGGGACAGCGAGTTGAGAGAACAGGGATGAGTGTGAGCGAGCATACGTACCTGTGAGGAGACAGCTGAGGACCAAAACGGCCTGGTGGGAGGTCCCCATAGCTCCTGAGAACTGCAAAAGCCAAAAGCCAAACAGAAACAGCATTAGACAAATGGAAAACCACAGACGAGCTAGGTTCTCCTGCAGTGGGAATCCTTCATCGTACCAGCTTAAGCTGCTACAGACAGACAGACATACAGCTAAGTGGGAAGTATCAAAGAGCATGGTGGAGCCTCTCTTGGAGACACTGTCTCGAAAAACAGAGAGAGAGAGAGAAAAAAAGAAATGAATGTTAAGGACTTTCTCAGCATCTGAGCTGGAGAAGTCTCAGCTTCATGTGGGCTATCACTGGCTTTGCGTCACAGCCCATCAGGAGTTTGAATCTTCTTACTTTCAAAAAAGTTCCTTGGGCTGGGACAAATAATTCAACAGCAAAGTGTGGTTTCGGTGTATTCTAACCGATAGCTTGGTGGCCTCTGTGACGTGAGGCATGTGAGAATATGGGCTCCCAGCGTGTGTTCTGGTGGGACCTGGACGGACATACAGCCAGGCTCCTAGAAGCTTGGAGAGCCCAGGACAGGCACACGAATGAAGGGATGGGAAAGGGAATTGGGAAGAGGCCCAGCACGGTTGATGGACACTTTCAATACCATCACCTAGGAGGCATGAAGAGCATCCCTCATTGTCAAGGACATAGCATCTGTGCAGAGCAAATTCTGGGAAACAGGAAGGCTCCGTTTTAGAAATCTGTACACAGGGGAACGTTCCATCTGTCCCTCACACCATTTCTCGCTGTGAGGCACAGAAGTTTATCAAGTGGTCCAAAAAAAAACACACAGCCGGGGGCAGATCCAGGAGTGTGTGTGTGTGTGTGTGTGTGTGCACGCACATGAATGTGTACTTGTTCATGCATGTTCTTACGAGTATAGGTGCATGCGGAAGTGAGTGGTTGACATCAGATATCAACGATTCTACGCTAGCTTCAGTCATTCTACACTATGCTTTGAGGCAAGGTGTCTGGCTGAACCTGCAGCTAGCCAGTTTGGGTCGACCAGCAAGGCAGCAATTCCGAGGGATCTGGGAAAGGTCAGCCCTTCGGCGCCCACTCTGCCCTAATACAACCCAGCCCCTGACCCCTCTCCTTCTCTGTACACCATAATTAGAAAACCTAATTGCAGGGTTGTGAACCGAATGCACTCAGAAAGAGGCTGTCTGGCTTAATGGTCTCTGAGGATCTTGGCAGGTTGCTGGAGGATGTCGGGTTTCCAAACTGCTGTGGTGACGGCCACAGGGGGCCCCAGAGCCAGGCTGGTTGCCTGATTTACCACAATTAGCAGTAAGGGCCTGTGTGTTTGTACACACAAATATCAACCTCCCACCGATAATCCACTTGGCCAGCTTCAAAGCGGCTCCCAGCGCCAGCTTGCCGGCTGGGGTTTTATCACGTTCGAATCCTGCAGTTCTCCAGCAAGCCTCACCAGCCATGGATCTTTCAAGCCCCACTAAGCTCAAGAGAAGGACTCAGCACACTGACAGGGCCGGCTCCGAAGAGCGTTCTGCCCCAGCCAGGCTCTAGCAAATTTCCTTCTGTGTGTCCAGATATGGTGGACTTGCTGCCAGAGATGATGATTTACTGGCATACAGAGTGGGCAGCGAAAACAGGGGCCTCTGAGAGAGTGATAATGATGCAAAATAGTGACTATCCACATGTGTTTGCTTAAGATTTCAAACCCCAGTCTCTGATAAGGACCAGTTCCCTGGCTAGGAAAGCCGGGTGTATTTATGAAGTTGTATGCCATTACTCATTTGTGACCCAGACAATGTAGCCATGAATAATTGTAGCATGTCTGCCTCACAGTGAGAAACAGAGCCCAAGGGAAGAAAAAGAGGCTCCCCATGCTCGCTATAGGGAAGATCTCTGGAAGGGAATCTTGGTTTTACTTGTGCTCTCCCACCCTGAAAGTGTCTTTCTTCATTGCTCCCAGCCAGGAACATCCACAGGTCAGACACAAAGACACAAGTAACTGAGGTTATTACAAAATCTGAGGCCTGTAAGCACTGAAAGCCAGTACAATGGGAACTAAACCCTTTTGCAGGAAAGAATAACAGATTCAACTAAAAATAAATAAATAAAACAAATCATGAATGGGTCTGGTGAGATGCTCCAAGAGAGTAAAGATGCTTGCTTGCAAAGCCTGATGGGCTGAGTTAGAGCAACAAGACCCGAATGGTGAAAAGAGAGTGCAAACTCCCACAAGTTGTCCTCCGGCCTCGTGTGTGCACGGTGCACACACACAAGTAATAAATACACTCTTTAAATTAAATCACTTATTATTCAGGCGTGGTGAAATAGAGATGAAGGGGTTCAAGGCTGGCCTGAGCTATAGGAGACTTTATCACAGAAAGAAAGAAAGGAAAAGGAAGGAAGGAAGGAAGGAAGGAAGGAAGGAAGGAAGGAAGAAAGAAAGAAAGAAAGAAAGAAAGAAAGAAAGAAAGAAAAGATGTTGTTTCTTTCTCCCGTGTCAATTCCATGTTGGACTGTAGTCTCCGTGTTCTGATCTCAAAAAGCATGTCATAGTTGGCGTAACAATCCAGAATGTGCGGTTGCAGCCATGCTGGCTCTGAGGCGGGTGCCATGGTTCCTATGCAACCTGTTATTCTCCTCCTTTCTCAGAAGACACGATTCGAATCACATCAGACTAGATTCTGATTCCAGCTCTTGACAGGGTTTCCCATCTACCCCTCAGAACTTAGGTCTTATCTCTGCGCTGGAAACAGCCATCACTGGCTTGTCGGTTTGCCTCCGCTGGGTCCTTAAAGGATAAAGGACCAGTGTACACAGTCCCAAAGTGTGACTCTTCCTGTAGGCTCCTAAGATGTTAGACAATGCCAGGCCCTTTACAGCCTGCTTACTAAGAAAGTGAAGGCCTGGAGGTCCCACAACTTTTTCTTCTGCCTACTGGGGAAGCGGATGTGACCCTCTAGCTGGTATTGCTGTGCCAATTCTGCATCATCAGCTAATACATACAGTCCTAAAACACAGAAGCAAATCTGACTGCAGCCACTGTCTCGGCCCACCCCTTTCCATCCCTCCCTTCGTCCCTCTCTCCCTTTCTAGTCCTTCCAGGTTGGTCTTGAATTCAAGATCCCCCTGCAGCACCACACTCAGCCACCCCGCAGCAAACAAAAACGAAAACTACTGTAGGTTATAGTCTCTTACCAGGGACCGAAGGGTAAGTCGGGAAGTAAACAGGATGCGAGTAATATCAAGGTATTTCTCCCAGAAGAGCTGCCATTCCCCCAAGGCCATGGCCAGCTTCTCTGACACTAAGGGCACAATGCACAGATTCCACTGCCCAGACACTGGACACTGAAATCCGCCCCACCCTGTCCCAGTTAAACACCCCAGCAGGCGGACTCTCTGCCCCAAAGCCACCAACAGCCTTCAGGATTCAGATTTCTGAGGTTTGTTTAATGTCAGCTCTTCCAAGTTAATTCTAACTATGAAAATAACACATCTTGTTGTTTTGCTTCGTTTCCCCACCCCCCTTACTCGGTCTTATAACTTCAGCCCAGGCAGCTTAAATACGGGTCTGCAATGGTGGCGACGTCTGTGTTTTCTAGCCCAAATTATGTTTCCCGGGACCTGTACCCCACCAACTGCTGTGTTTTGATCTCCTGGAGCATACTGTTAGATGTTCCAATAAGGAGTGGGGTGGGGTGGGGTAATTTTACCCGCAAGCATCGTACAGAACAGCCTGAGTTCATAAGCCTTGGTCTCCTTGAACCAGAGGTGAAACTATGAGAAAATAAAGTAACGCTTCCTTCCAACTGTCACTAAATGAGTAGAACAATTGATCAGTGGCTTGAAGTCAGCAAGCCCTCATCCTAGGTTTACAGAAGTTAGAGAGCCTGCTCCCTTCCTGACTGGTCCGCTCACATAAACAGTGTTCATTATGTAAGTGTAAAAGATTAGCAATTAAGGCTTGAAGTAGCTCAGCCATACCACACTTATCTAGCATTTGGAGGGACTGATTCTGATCGCCAGACCACACACACACTCACACACACAAAGTTGGAAGCTAGACATATGTCTGAAAAATAAAATCTGTTCCAGTGATTGTTGCGGATTTGTAGGAAAGAAAAATCAGTAAAATCACCTCCGTGCTCCTTAAGAGCAGGAAAGTGGGGCTGGAGAGATGGCTCAGCTGTGAAGGTCACTGACTGCTCTCTGGGTTCAGTTCCCAGCACGCACATGGCAGCCCAAACACAGGAACCTGACACTCTCTTCTAGCCTTAGAAGACACCAGACATGCAGGGAAAATACCGACCTGAAGTAAAAATTTTAAAGAGGAAAAAAAAAAAACAAAAACAAACTCATCAACTTCCCTACTAGCTTGGAATTTGCCAAGCCCACCAAGAGGTATATGCAGTTCTTCAGAACAGACAGCAGATGGCAGTGTTGGTTCAAGAACCAGTCCTGGTCGTCTCGGAGCTGCCGCCGCCATTGAAACCAATCGAACCAACTTTTACAGTATCTTAGGGTTGCACTTTTAGGTTCCGCGCTGGCTTGCAACTAAACTCCGAGGAGTGGGATCAGAAATAAGACAACTTCTGTCTAAAATGCCTAGATGTCCTTGGGGACCCCAGGAACAATCGTCATCATCAGCATTATTATCATCATCACCAATGCCCAGAGAGGGGACCAAGACGCAGCCGTGTCTTGGGAAGCGGGAAGATAGCGCCGTTCACCAGGCCCCAAAGACTTAGCAGGACTGGCCCCTTGGGATTAGGGGAAACAACGCGCTTTGACTTTCCACCCTCCAGGCATGAAGGCTACCCCGACGCTGCCAAGAGAGACCACAACGCCTTTCTCCGACACTCCATTGTCACTCCTCGTAAACCCGTCCCCGCGGGGTCCCTGCAGCCTGGCTGGTTGGAAACGACTATCCCCATTGCCCAGGAACGCAGGGTCGCCAAACAGCAACAGGCCTGGGGAGCTTGCCCCGGCCTGGAGCGCACAAACAGACGACTGTCCTCCAGGACCGCGCCCAGTCCCTAATCCCACCTTCTGCTAAAATTCTAACTCCCCAACCCCGGGCCCTCAACCCACCCTCGTCCACCCAACGCCTCTGAGCCAACGCGGTGCTTGCAAGGGAGACTCAAGAGCCACCCAGGTGAGCCGGAATTTCTGGCGCACCGGCCCCCAGCTCAACACCCCGGGGACCGCTCGACCGCCCAGGGCTGGTGGGACCCGGGTGGCGCCGCGGGGACCACTAGAGGGCGCGGCAACCCCGCGGATCTTACCCACCGGCTCCGCCGTCGCCCGCAGCTCCCGCTCCGAGTCCCCTACGGCGCGGCGCGCACCGCCGCCGCTTCTCCAAGAAGTTCCGCCCTGAGCTCCGGACCGCGACCTCTCTCTCTCTCTCTCTCTCTCTCTCTCTCTCTCTCTCTCTCTCTCAATCTCTCTGCCACCAGACACCCTCGCTCCCGCCGCGTCCCTCAAGCCCCGGGCCACACGCTCGCCACGGGAGACGAGGCGACGTCGGTCTGCCCCGGGACCCCAAGCTCCCGCCTCCCCAGCTCACGGCCGCCGAGGCCGCCGCGCCCTGGGCTCTGTGCTCGGCGTTTGCATTGTTTTCAGCTGCGACCTGAGCGGAGACTGGGCAGGGCGGAGGAAGGGGGCCAGGTTTAGTATTTCAGGCGAGCAACAGCGCCTCCTGCGGGACGGTCGGCGGCGCCCGCAGCCGCTGAAGGCTGGACCGAGCCCTCTGTCGAATTGGCTTGGTCGAGTGCCCACCTTGCCCCTCTGTCGCCCTGTCCCTGGGCACCCCCCGCTCCCCTTTATGCTTCTGGCTTCTCTTGCTCCCGGGAGGGAGGGAATCGAAGTAGAAGGCTAGGGAGGAGAATCCTCGAGTCCGTGGCTTTCTTCTCTCCCCTCTTACCATCTAATGTCCCAACTCGTCTACGTGGTTCGCCCTTCGCCTTAAAACAAAAGAAAAGGACACCGAACCACATCGGCAAAGACACAGGCACCGCTGGGGTCGGGGACCAGAACGCAGTCGGGACACGCTAAGCACTGTCCTCGGGACCCCTCTCCGCGCCTCCTCCCCAGGGCCGACGCCCCCGGCCAGCCAACCCAACGCTCCGGGCTGGGCTGTGGCAGAGCCTCACCTTTGAGTCACCTCTCCAGCTCTCAGCCCTCGGTCCGGCACGGCTACCTTCCCCCAGCCACCTTTAACCTGGATGCGACTCGCCGAGAGCCAGAGGGGGTCCCACCCTCCCAGGCCGGCGAGCGCACGGCTGGCCACCGCGTCCCCAGCTCGGGCCTGTCCCCGGGAGGCAGAGAGCCCGCCTGCCCCGGCGCCCTGGGCGCGTTCGCCGCTGGATGCTCAGGCCGGAGCCCCTCCCCTCCGCATCCCTCCCCCTGCCCGCGCCCCGGGGCAGAAAGAAGCAGCCCCCCGAGCCCAGGAAAGGGGGGGGAGGCCGGCCGCTGGGTCTGACCCCTTCGGGGCTCCCCCAAACTAAAGCCCGAGCAGGGAGCCGGGGCTAGAACCGGCGGCGTTCGGCCAGCTAAATGCAGCCGTCCTAGGATCCGTCCAAAAGCGGGACCCTCCGCAGAGCCCCGGAGCAGGGGCCGACCGAGGCTGCCAAGCGGCGTGGCGGGGTGTGGGGTGGAAAGGGGCCTCGAGAGGGGCGCGGGGAGCAGGAGTCTGAGAGGGAGGGGACCAGGGACGGCCTTAGCCCTGGAGGCTCGGACCGCGGGAGAGGTCGGTGCAATCGCCAGCGGGACCTCGGAAGACGTGCGCACCCCGGGAGCGCAGCGCCCCGCGCCTCCCCGGCCACTTCGGGAGTTAGCCCGGGGGTGTGCAGCCGTGCGCCCTACGCTCCGGCTCTCCGAGGCTGCGGGAGTCTGATGCCAGGCCACTCGGGAGAAGCCACTCGGGCCAGAACCTTGAGCAATCCCGCCACGGAGCCAAGAGGCCGTTTCCCACACCGCCCATCCCGGTGCTTTTTTAAAATTTTTCTGGGCAGCTCGGTCCGACGCTGGGCAGCCCAGTGCCCCCCCACGCCTCCTCCCCAGCTGGGGTCCCCCGACGCACACCCTGGGGGGGGGACTGGGTGACCCCTGCTCTCCCAAGCACTCTCCTCACATCCTGAGGTCCCGGCGGGGCCCGGAGCCCCTGCGCTCCGCAGCGAGACCTTCCCGGAGCAGACAGCAGGCCAGCCCTTCCTCTCCCGGGCCGCTGGGGCCGGGGCAGCTCCCGCACACCTGGCCGCAGCTGGATCCCGCCGCGGGGACCCGGGCCCGAGCCACGCCGCCTCGCCCCGCATGGCGCCCACACCCTCTCCAAACGGAAGGGCTAACAGACCCCAGACGTTGGAAAGCCGAGAGAGGGAGAGGAAGCAGCCAGGTTCCCCGGCCCCGGCCGGAGTCTGGGGATGGGGGTGCGGGGGAGGGACCCTCACGCGTGTAGAGAGATCTCCGCGGGGGTGCACGGTGAAGGAGGGAGGGCTGCGTGGAGACAGCTCCCGAGTCCTGCAGGATGGTGAGCGTTGGAAGCACAAAAAAAAGGGGGGGGATGGGGAGACACAAGGCAGAGGTTACGCCCCGGGAGGCCGGCGCCACGCACCCGTCACCCCGGGGCAGAGAGGCCCCCGAGGTCCGCGGGCGGGAGGCTCACCTGCACCCACGCCTGTCCCTCTTGGCGGCCGGGACCCGGCAGCAGCCAGGCCCCCCAGCCCACCCCGGGCCGTGCGGGGAGGACTCACTCCGCCGGGGAATGCGGGTAGGGTGGGGGCGGGGAGCGCGGCCCCGGATCCCTCCAACCCCGGTCGCTGGAATGCGGGGCCGGGACGGCGGCGTCTCCACTCCCGGGGACCCAAATGTGTTTGTCATTATTCCAGCCCGCGCGCCCGCGCGCCCCGCCGCCGCTCCCGCCCGACCCCGGCTCTCTCCGGCTGTACCCCGGCAGCCGCGCCGTCCAGCAATTACCAGGGCTCGCCTGGCGCCGAGTGTGCCCGGCCGGCCGGGCCCCCGGGGTCCGACCTCCTCCGGCCGAGCCCTTCGCGCCTCCCTCCCTCTCTCTCCCGGCCCTCCTCGGCGCCCCCTCTCCACACACCTCTCCCGGTGTCCTCCTCCTCCCTCCCCCCAAAAACTGGGCGCCACGCCGGTCCCGCCAAACCGCGGGCGGCGGACGAAAATACTTCTTCGAACCTGTCCTCCGCCGGGACCCGCCGCCAAGAGGCCAGGTACTGCTGCTCCCACCCCCAAAAGTGTTCCTTGGTGTGTGTCCCGGTACGCGCGAATGCCACCCCCGACACACACACACACACACACACACACACACACACACACACACACCCTGCAGAAAAACCTCAAAAATGTAGACCTAACAATTTCTTTGGGAGGCTATAGGTTTGTTAGGAAAACATGGCTTTTAAAAATAGGTCTGGGGGAAGAAAAAAAAAAGTTTTATCCTTGGACCTACTCTATGGTTTCCCCCTCATTCCGGTGAAGTTTGTTCCGAATAAATTACTCTCTGGACACACAACTGGAATCCAGCTGTGTGTGTGTGTGTGTTCGCGCGCGCGCACGCGCGCGTGTGTGTGTGTGTGTGTGTCTGTGTTTTCCTCGTTGCCCAGAATCTGAAGTCCCTTCGCTTCTTCCGAGCCGCAACAGACAGATCAGGCACCTCCTTTAGAAACAAAAGTCACTTTCCCCTCTCCCTTACCTTCCTCTAGGTCAGTTCGCAAGGAAAATCCTACACACGGTGTGAAAAGTAAGCCCCAAGCCTCCTGCCCTCGGCCGCGGCTCCTCTGTTTGTTTCTCTCCCTCCAGCTCCGACAGTCATGGGCTCAAAACCCGCATTTTGTAATTGATTCAACGTTATAGTCCATCCTCCTAAAACTAATCATTTGCTGAAAGTAAATAGCTGTCAGGAAATGAAGCCCCCCCCCCACCCGGCCTCTTCAAAATAAAAGTTTCCCTCGGCTCCTGGCTCTCTCAATCGCTCTGACTCTAGACCTCTCCTTTGCTTCTTGCTCTTATGCAATCAGGGGGTCCAGTCCCAACCCCCTGACTTCAACAACAACTGGAGGGGGGGGGGGGGAGGCAAACCAGATGGGGGGGGGGGTGGCCGAAGGGGGGAGGTGTTGACGTTCTGCCGGGAAAGAGAGGTTTCGTGAAACTACAAACAGCCAGCATTTCCAAAATGAGTTGGCTTCCCGAGTGTGTGTGTGTGTGTGTGTGTGTGTGTGTGTGTGTGTGTGCGCGTGTGTGTGTGCGCGCGCGCGCGCGCGCGCTCGCTCTTGTACTCTCTTCGAACAGAAAACGCACGTCAAGTTGCTGCTGATTTTCAGAACGAATGTAAATCTGGAATTCAAAATTGCCCTTCTGTAGGCCAATCCGGGACCAGCTACAAGCATGGCCCCGGGGAGAAATACGGACTCCGCTGCGTCGTTTTGAACTTGGGGTCTTAAGGGAAAGTGCCCGTGCCGTTGCTAATCCCTTAATGGGATTAGGAAACTGTGGGGTCTAATAGGAAGATGATGGGTTTCGGAAAGGCTAGGGTGTGAGGCGGTGCGCAAAGAACGGTCGCCCGGCGTACCTTTGGGATGTCCTCCGGAGGGACGACCTTTACCCTGGAGGCCACTTATCTGGCCCTGCCTTTGTTTTCGGGGGTTATCTGCTCCTCCTCGCTTCTCCCTTCCTACGGAAAAGCTCACCTGGGCGTGACGGCCGCAGCCTGCCCTCGGCATCGTCACGACAGAAGTGTCCGGGCCTCCGAAATTCCCCCCTCCGAGGGCACACGACGCAGCCTAGGAAGGCTATGGGGGGGGGGGTGTGATGGAGCCGCAAACCCGCCAACCTAAGCCACCCAGCGAGAGCCGGCTGGGACGCGGCGATGCTGCCGGCGAGGGGAAGGGGGCGCTGACACTCCAGGAAACAAAGCTGGGGGAAGCGGGGCGTCCCGGGGCGGTGGGGGAAGGGAGGGCCTTCGACCTGCGCTCTAGCCTGGAATTCTCTTGGTGGGGGGAGATGAGAGCAATCCTTTATCTCCCACCGCCGCCGCCGCCACCACCACCACCACCACCATCTCACCCATCAAAAAATAAAAGGGACAAGGCAGCCAGAGAAACAACACACAGTCGAGTAACGGTCGCCTGTTTCACCCCGGAGAGTGGACAGGAGGCCGAGGTCAATCACCGAGGCTTCCCCCCACCCCCGCGAAATGCTGAGTGCTGTGCCCACGGTACGGGGGTGTCAGGCCCCGGGAGAGGATGCCTGAGGCTGGGCCGGGAGCCCCGAGCCTCCTCCGCCCTTCTGCGCGCCCGCCTCTGGTGTCTCCTCAGCTCGGGTGACTGCCCCGCTTGCTATTGCTTCCACATGTTCCTGCAGGAAATCATCGAGGGCGAAGTGTATGAACGGCCCCTTGTTCGGAATGCTGGCGGGGTACCGTAATGCTTGTAGACAATGAACAGGATGCTAACTAACGACTCCTGCGTCTCACGGACACACACACACACACACACACACACACACACAGATGGAGGGAGCGGTGGGGAGGGTCAGCTGTTGTCAAATCTGACGAGTCCAGATTTGGGGTTTTGTAGCAGGTACCCGAGGAGGGCAGAGGTTGAGGCTGGTCCCCTGCCGAGGAAGGCCTGCTCAGTAACGGACAACCCTACCAGCTCTGTCCCACCCCAGGCGCTCTCTCTCTCTCTCTCTCTCTCTCTCTCTCTCTCTCTCTCTCAGGCAGGGCCCCTGCCTTCTCCGCCCCCAAACGGTAACTTCACAGTTCGTTTCAGAACAGTTTTAAAGGTTTGGGGGGGGGGGTCCCCAAAGCGGGGCGGCTCGGGTGTCCTGGGGCTGTAACTCCTCAGGAGTTTAAAGCGGAGGAATGGATGAGGCCTCGGCACCCAGTCGCTCTTCTGGTAGTAATTACCTGCCTAATTTAAATGATGCCTTTGTTATGATCATTAACAAACATTTGCTAAAGGTTTCCATGTGTGACATTCCCTAAGGTTTAAAAGGCCCGGGGAGCTGACTCCCGGGGATAGCGCCCCAGTAGGGGGTGGCGCAGGCGAGCAAATGGTTGATGGGGGGGGGGATCTGGCTGAGTCGGGGGGCCCGGCGGAGCGTCTGCCTTCCCTCCCTGCCAAAGCAAAATAAACGCCGCGGTCCGCAGCGACGTCGGGGCAGGAGGCCTGTGCGCTCTCGCGGTTGGCTTCCGAGGCCCAGGTCCTGCCCCCCGCCCTCCCACTGCTCATAGGCGGGTTTGAATCTGGTTTTCCTCCCTCCGCTCGCTCTCTGAGGTTGGAGGGGAGGCCCCGTCGGTGGCCGTCACTCAGGCCCAGGGTGCTGGGGGGAGGGGGCTCGCCCAGCTCTTTGCCAGCCAAGCTGATCTAAAAAAAATCCTTCCAGATCGCCCCCCCCCCCGACGACGCCCCGGGTCCTGGGTGGTCTCGGAGCCGGAGAGGGCAAGCACCAAGGTCTTCTCTCCCCGGTCCTGATGTCCTGAGGGGTACAGGTCACTCGGGGCCGCTAGCGGAATGGCCTTCTGCTTGAGCGAACGTGCCAAGAACCCAACTCGCATTCCGACTGCGGCGGTGGACCCCTTGGGTCTTTCGCCCTGGAGCTAAGGATGAGATTTTTTTTTTTCCCAGCAGCCAAGAGCGGACGAGGCCCAGCTCACGCGGGGTCCGGAACTTTGGGGAACCGGATGGAAAAGGGCAGCAGATCGCACCCTGGCCTTATGCCCCATGGCCTGCGGGCGATCAGAATATAGGGTCCCCGGGGCCTAAAGACCCTGGCTGCTCCAGATGACTTAACCTTCAAGAGAGGGCCCCGTGAACTTTTTGACAACCGCCTCAGACTGGTCACTGGCAGGAAATAAATTCTGAACCTGCATCCCAGAACCAGAGCGCCGGGCGCCAAGCCCCGCGTCCCTGGTCCCCGAGGCTCGCAGCGGCGCCTTCCTTCCCCACTTCTCGCTGGCTTTGCCCACCGGCGCTATCTTCCTTGGAGAATTCGTGTCCTTCTGTTGAACCAGTTAGAGCCATCAAAGTCCTCGCCTGTGAAAATTCACATCTAAACCAACTTGTTAATTTCTTTCAAATGAAGTTGACGGCCAGGAAGGGATGAAGGGGGTGGGAGGAGGGTCCGGTTCCTTGTTTGAAAATAAAGGGGCATTTGGTCGATAGCAAAAGAGAACGCCTTTGGCTGCTCCTACCAACTCCTAAGTGCTTCGGGAGGAGGCTCCTCCCAGGCCAGGGGAGCCCGGAGAGGGCTGGAGTTGCCTTCACCAGATGTCAGAGCCCCTACGGGGAGAGGAGCAGGGCTCCACCCCAACCCTGGAGCATCCCAAGCCGAGGGGTAACCCACTCTCGCAAGGCGAAGGAAGGGCGTTCTGAGGAAGCCGGAGGGCTGGTGTAACTAGTTTCCCTCTCTCCGAGACTTGTGGCCCACCTCCTCAGCGGCGGTGGCTCCCGGGATGTCCAGGGAGGAGCGGAGAGCAGTTCCCTGGGCCCCGGGCATTCTCTCTAGGGTTCCTAATTGAGGACGAGAGCTTGCCTCGTTACCCAGCCCAGACGACGAGGGCCGCGCACCCCTCTGCGCTCTGAATAGCTGTGTCTGGCCAGGACCGAGCGGGAATCTGGCCTCTTGCTTCCTCCTTCTGCAGAGACCAGTCTCCTCCTTCTAGGGATCCCGTGGCTGTCCCACTACCCTCTCCTTCTCCTCGGCCCTTCGGTTTTTATTTAACTTTTAATTTGAAAAGCCATGCGAGGGGTGGGGGAGGGAAGGCGATGGGGAGGTCTGCTCTTTATTAGGGGCCTCCGCCGTCCAGCTTTGCAGCACACAGCTGTGGCTTGGGAGGAGGGCTGGCTCTGCTTAGGTCAGCCGCCTCTGAAAAGGGAGCCTTGTCTTCGGCGAGTCCCAGGAGGGCAGCAGAGTCCTGCGAGGTGTTCTGGTGTGTGTGTGTGTGTGTGTGTGTGTGTGTGTGTGTGTGTGTGTGTGTTTGAGCTTTGGGCAGACAAAGCCTGTGACATGACTCTGCTCACCCATTAAATAGGATGATAGCCCCGTCAAAACGCACAGGATAGATGGGGGGGGGGGTCCAAAATAAATAATTCAAAATTCAAATGGATGTACAGTCACTCCTTACAATGGAGCCTTACCAAGCCAGGAGATGCCAAGATCCGTGCCAAGCAGGAAGGCTTCAACCCTGCCTTCCTGGCATTAACGGCACAGTAGAGGCTTGCTGGAACTGGAGTCTCACACTCCATACGCTAGCAGATAGATGGGGGGGGGGGGGGCTTCCCGTTGGAAAGGTACCTCTGAGTTCCTAAAAAAAACTAGCTAGCTAGGTAATAGGTAGAGAGAGAGAGATAGGTGATGGATGAATAATTTATAGATAGATTGATTGATATAGATGATAGATAGATAGATAAAACAAAAGAGAATGCTGGCCTTATTCTATAGAAGTGCCAGAATTGGTTGAGGAGGGGGCAGGAATACTGAAGTAGAGCTGAGTTTGGGGAAGGCGACCACTTCAGGCCAACAAAGAGGAATTGCCCCTGGCAGTGAGAACCCTCAGAGAGGCACAGCACTCTTGTGGTAGGAGCTGTGAGGGAGAGGCAACCCTTGCTTTGCCCACCCGGTGCTGGGCTGTGCCTTTACTCAGTTGGGGAGGGGTCAGCCAGGAGCAAACTTGAGAAGGAAAAATGATGAGGTAACTTTTGAACAGGCTGTATTGAAGAAATCCTAGAAATCCTAAATAACATCACAAGAAAATCTAGGATAGAATTTTTAACAATCCTTGGGGGGGGGGGTAGCCTTAAGGAAAAAAAAAACCAAAAAAAAAAA